ATGCGTGCGGCGCCAACTGGTTATCTTAGAATCAGACTGGTGGCAGTAGCTTTATGCAACTGCTTCGTATGCATTGAGAGGAAGCTCGCTATTTTCTCTAGCGTGATAAAGATAAAAAGGATAAAGCATTTGCCGTTGATCAATCCCTTTTTGGGATGCGGCACGCATTCTACTTCCATTTGTACATTCGTAGTGGCGTTTGAATGCGATGTGGCCTATACAATGACTTGCGGGGCCAGCCGATGTACAAGTCAGTGTTTTTATCCTCCCAGACAAGTCTGGTACCAATTAACCGACCCCGGAGGGATGGAAGGCTTGGTTGGCCCGGGCGACTCACGACCCAGGGTCAACCCTGCGTTGCGCAAAGAACAACGAGGGGGTCGTATTCAGCCGACCGAAAAGGGAGGGGGTCGTATCCACAGACGGGCTGCAAGACGGCTTGAAAAGTGCAGTGTCCGGGAGTGCACTTTCAGCCTCTAATGTTCTCCAGGAGCTCTGCACGCTGTCGGAGAGTCACACAGACATGAGCTCCATGGGAGCATTAAAGCATGCAGAGCACTATAAGTCTCACCATCAGCTTATTATCCTTAATCGACGCTATCCGGACGGCGCTTTTGCTCGCGGCATAGATCAAGAGTTACAATAGCCAAAAACTTTGTTACAGTGTAGTGCAAAAACATGGTCTGTCTTCGATGATGAAACATTCCTGAAATCCCGAGGAGAACAAAGTGTAGAGCAGTTCATGGGAAAGTGAAACAAGAGTGCCATATAACAGCACAATGCAACTCAATCAGGATACTAACACCTTCTTCAGGAAAACAGAAGACTTTCAAATGCGAGTGCGAACTCTGCCCACAGATAGGTGCACGGCGTATACCCGAGGCGTTTTCCCATAAAAACGCCTCCTCTGTCAGCGGCCGTAAGCAGACAAACTTTCTGAAGAGAGTTTCGATGCTTTCAAATAAAAATCTAAGCGAAACAAAGTGTAGCGAATTTGCTGAATTGAGTTCTAGAGACGCCGTAGGAAAATTGAGGCAGAAGAAAGAATTTCAGGAAAATTTCACAGTTGTTATGAAGTACTCTTCGAGTGGATTCCAACAATCTTTACCGCTTCTCATCACATTAATTTTGAAGGAAGTTATGGGCCTTTGAAGACTGCATAGTCGCGGTCCAGGAAAATGGCTTGAAAAAAATCAAGGTGGAAAAAACGGAACAACGGGACTATTTTTTGAGCGAGTGATTATTTCAAGAAGTTTTAGCACTTATTCGAAAGCTCTAATCCTCTAGTTTCTAATTAGCCTTAGACATCTGCAAAATGTTGAGTATGAAGAAAGTTATTAACGTTTGAATGTCGAAAACTCGCGCCTTCTCAAAAATCGGACCCCAAACCACGGAACAACGGGACTATTTTTTGAAAAAATGATCGCTGGAAAATTTTCAGGTGCTTGTTCGAAAGCTCTAATCTTCTAGTTTCTAATTAGCCTTAGACATTTGCAAAAAGTTGATTATGAAGAAAGTTATGAATGTTTGAATGTCAAAAACTCGCGTGTGCACAGAAAACGGAACAACGGGACGATTTTTTGAAATATTGAACATCCACAACATTTCAAATACTCCTCAGGAAGAAAACTATTTATATTTTAAAATTTTGGTGTCCGATTTCATGAAACAGCTTCTGAAAGAAAATATAACCTTCTGAATGGAGGGGTTTGGATTGCAATGTAATTGCTACAAGGTTTAGTTTTTCAGATTATAAGGTAAGGAAAGTTGAGAGATCGAAAAAATCCTGGTGGGTTTCTGAAAGTAGAAATCTTTACGATTAAAATGATGTATTGGTTTACCGCAAAAATTTGGAAATTCCTTCTATTTAATGAATAAAACTTCATTTGCCCCGATTCCCTCCTCTGAGCGAGACAAAGCGCGCGGATTGACCACGGTCCACCACTTCTCCATGTTGGTGACTGCCATCATTGATGAGCATTGATGAGCATTAAATTATGTGAAAGACATGATAGTTAATTTCAATAAAATCTAAGCGAAACAAAGTGTAGCGAATTTGCTGAATTGAGTTCTAGAGACGCCGTAGGAAAATTGAGGCAGAAGAAAGAATTTCAGGAAAATTTTACAGCTTTCGTGCATACTAGCAAACCCGCCAATCCCTTAGGTTCTTTGGAACGACATCTAGTGCGGAACGTACGTGCGCTTTGCTACCATACCTTCAAAATTACTGAAGAGTCTCCTTCTAAAACTTACAAACTAACCACATCCAAATGTCCAACGTCGAATAATGTCTTGTAGTGAATCCAGCTCTCTTGCCCTCGCCTCCACCCTTCCTCCACCAACTCGAGTTCTTCTACCTCAACTCCTTACACCCTCTCCCCGCAGCAACAGTTCTCACTAACTGCTCTTGTAAACTATACCGTGGAATCCGCTTTTCCTCAAAACTGCTATCTAAAAATGAAGTTGGCAACGATCTCAGGCTTGAATCTTTTCAAAAATCAGCCTTCATGTCTATATAGTGCTGCCGCGTGCTTGTGTGCACAGAAACTTCCGAGCCTGTGTTGCTTTGACAGTCACGATGCAACGCGTATGGGCCTCCACCACAATTACTCTTAGACAATAATCATTATGCTGAGATTTGTGTTTTCTTTTAGATCACCAGAAAATTTTTGCTAACATCCTCATCGGTGCAGCATGCGCTTGATATTGTTGTTGCAACGCTGTGTCCGTCTACCGCAGTCTGCCGGCTGGCCAATCCTAATCTAATGCACATGCAAATGAATGCTGAGAGGTTTCGATGCATAGACTGCCATCCCCCCGACCCTTACTACTTTCGTGCATCACCTTGTTACGAAGAGAATAGATATTCATGGCAGCTAGAGGATATATCTACTATACAGTTTGCTTTCGGTGGTAAAAAATCCTCGGCTTGAATTTTCATTGAACCAACTTGATGAGCATGGACGTATTCACACAAAAAAGCAAAAGCATCTCACTGTTGCGCACGCCTACTCCCAGACAGTAGTTACGATGTCGTGAAAAACGCCCATAGCTTGTTGCCATGTTCTGTGGGGGTGTTCCTCCATTCCTCTTTTCTCTTCATTCTCCTCCAGGTGATGAGCAGAATAGAGATTTTCACCACGAAGATGCCCCAGTCAAAAGCACGGCGTAACCCACGTACTCCATCAATAGCATAGGTAGCATAAACTGTCTAACTGTGCTCTGAATGTTTCCTATGTGTTTTGGCTTCAGCTGTCTAAACTTGTGACGTTGGCTTCGAAGTTTTTTTCCATAACTCAAAATGTATGTGTCTAAAATTTTCGACTATGACTATGGAGTCAAGAACACGTTGAAAGCCATTGCCAAACGAATTCGCACTGTTATGAAATAGTAAGCATCAAATGTAGGCATAAGTTTTTTCACTTATTCGAGAAGAAATTCCGGCTCTGCCTCTGTCATCCTGGAGTGCTTCGTAGAAGATGTAAGAATAGAGAAGTACTCAAAATACATGCTTCCAACTTAACCGCCAAAGCTGTTTCACTGGCAGACCTCACTCGTCTACAACCACTATTGTTATCACGATTGACACTTTCTATGATGTTTTTGATCCACCACTGCCATCGTTACATTCATGTTGTCAGTACCAAGGAAGAGCAGTCGCACTTTCCATTATAAGCAGGTACATTCATTTTGATGCCATCTTCTTCGGCTCCCTCTTTGTTCGCGGCTTCGGGTTGACCCTTATTTCTTACTGCGATATTCCTGGAGTGAATGACAAGCGGAATAGCCTCAGAGCCGAGTGGCGTATACTTTAACGCTATACCTGATGCTCGCCCCTTCTCGACGGACATCGTTTTTATTTTTGAACTTTAGTCACCATCAAAACCATCTTTAAGCAATGAGATGATAAAATTTTTTGATTCATTGTTGGAATTCAATACAACTGGCTTTTTCCGTGCCCTGCGTGGTCACTCCTTTCGGGCTCGTCGTTCAGTTACTTCTGTGCAGTAAGTCGATTTTTTTCTCGATCTTGGTCAAAAGTTTATCTTGAGGTGTGGCAGTGCCTTGCTGCACCTAAGGAAAGTTAAGCATTCCTCTACCCACGGTTTATCGCTCGCATTAGAACATTTTTGCTCACGGTTCCTTTACGGCAGTCCTGAAAAATGAGTAATACAGCCAGAAGTTTCGCTCGAGATTGGGATTTATGCTCACATCCATCATGCTGATTTCTGCTTCTGAAAAAATAGGGTTTTTGCCTCATAGCGACTAAGTCAAGTTACATATGGGCAGTTCTGTCATAATGGCGAGGCAGCTGTGCTTCTAACTACACAATTATACCACCTCTTCGTAGATTCATATCAGAATGACAATCAACTGAATACTCGATGTAATCTGGAATTCTTCACAAAAAAATGCTCCAAAGAGATGCTTTTTAAACTGTCCCGATGGTGGGATGCTTCATGCTTTGTGGCGCACCTTTTGAAATGTGTGATGATCCGCATTTTTCACGCTGCATCTAGGAATTCAGCCAAAATCTGCTTAAGCTTTTCAATCACCTCCTTGTTATAACCATGTAATGGAGGGGAGCGGATACATATTTTCCCCTCG